AAACAGTTCTGATTTGAAGAAATAGTTTCTAATGATTATAGTGTTATTGTAAAGGCTACTAATAATCCAGTACTAATTACTAAAAATATGTATCAAGTAATTTGTCAAGTTCATAATCAAATTACACAACACAGTGATCAAAACAAACATGAAAAGCAATATGAGAAAAGTGAAGCTGGGTGAAACAGGATATTATTGAATAATTCATAAATAATTGCACAATATGCTATTAGAAAGTCATAATTTCATTCTTTAGTCACAAAATTAATAATTGCAAGAAATTTTTATCTCGCATTCAAGTAATTTTGATAATCTATTTATTGATTTTTTATTTTTTTAAATAAAAATTATTTTTATATATATAAATAGATTTAAGCAATATAACTTTTAATTCAGATAAAGAATTCATAATTTTTATGAGTAAAAATACTCATTTTTAAAAGAGCAATTAAAGTTGTAGCTTATTTGTTTGATCTTTTTCATTTAATAAAACCATCATTTATAATATTGCAATCAGATAATAGAAAAGAGTTTTGTGCAGATATTATTAAAGAACTAGTTAAATTATGATTATCTGTAAAAATTATAAATGAATGACCTAAATATTTTCAATTCCAAGAACTTGTAAAATGTGCAAATATAATTTTGAAACAAAAATTAGAAAAGTGAAAAGAAAATACTGATTATAATGATTGAACTTTTGATTTAAGTTTTATTGTTACAATTATGAATAGTTTATGGTGTTAGTTACATAAAAAAATATTTTATAAACTTGTTTATAATAATAAATTCTGTAATAACTATATATTAATTAATAATTTGTTTGAAAGAAATATTTGTAATAAAAAAAAATTTTAAATACTGTTGAAATTCAAGATAATATTATTATAAATTTAGATAATAATATGAAATATAAAATTTATATCTTTTATAATTTATAATTCTATTTTTTTTAAGAATTTATAGAATCTTCTAATTGATAACTAGATCATAGTAATACTTTGAATAATTTAATATTTATTATAATTAATTCTTTTTTTACTGACTCAAAAATTCTTAGGTAAAAGTTTAGAATTTTTAAATCAACAAATAAATAATAATAATGCTTTGAATAAATTTATATTTATTATAATTTTTTTTAATTAATTTTTTACTAACTTTAAAATTTTCAGATAGAAGCCTGAAATCTTCAAATTAGCAAATAAATAATAATAATATTTTGAATAAGTTCATATTTGTTATGATTTTTTTTTAATTAATTTTTTATTGACTTGAAAATTCTCAGACAAAAGTTTAGAATTTTCAAATTAGCAAATAAATAATAGCAATACTTTGAGTAAGTTTATATTATGATTTACCAACTTGAAAATACTCAGACAGAAATCTGAAATCTTTAAATTAACAAATAAATAGTCACAATACTTGAGTAAGTTCATGTTTATTATAATTTTTTTTATTATTTTTTTAATTAATTATATTTTTTTAATTAATTATATTTTACTAATTAATTATATTTTTTTAATTAATTATATTTTTTAAATAATTATATTTTTTAAATAATTATATTTTTTTTAATTAATTATATTTTATTTAATTAATTATATTTTTTTAAAATAATTATATTTTTTTACTAACATAAAAATTTTTAGATAAAAGCCTGGAATCTTTAAATTAGCAAATAAATAATAGCAATATTTTGAGTAAGTTCATGTTCATTTAATTTCTTTTTTTAATTAATTTTAATTTTTATTTTAATCACTAACTTGAAAATTCTTAAATAAAAGTTCAAAATCTTCAAATTAGCAAATAAATAATAATAATGCTTTGAGTAAGTTTATATTTATTATAATTTCTTTTTTTTAATTAATTTTTTACTGACTCAAAAATTCTCAATAAAAGTTCAGAATTTTCAAATTAGCAAATAAATAATAATACTTTAGATAAGTTTGTATTGTTAAGATTTCTTTTTTTTAATTTATCAACTTGAAAATTCTTAGATAAAAGTTCAAAATCTTTAAATTAGCAAATAAATAATAATAATTGAATAAGTTTGTATTTTTTATAATTTCTTTTTTATTATTTTTTTAATTGATCATATTTTTTTTGAATAATTATATTTTTTTAATTAATTATATTTTTTTAAATAATCATATTTTTTTAATTAATTATATTTTTTTAAAATAATTATATTTTTTTTACTAACTTGAAAATTCTCAAATGAAAGTCTGAAATTTTTAAATTAGTAAATAAGTAATAATAATACTTTGAATAGATTTATATTTATTGATTTCTTTTTTTTAATTTATTAACTTGAAAATTCTCAAATAAAAGTCTAAAATCTTCAAATTAACAAATAAATAGTAACAATATTTTGAATAATTTTATATTTATTATAATTTCTTTTTTTTAATTTATCAACTTGAAAATTCTCAGGTGAAATCCAAAATTTTTAAATTAGCAATAAATAATGATAATGCTTTGGATAAGTTTGTATTTAATATAATTTATTTTATTATTATTTTTTTAATTAATTATATTTTTTAAATAATTATATTTTTTAATTAATTACTAATCATATTTTTGTTTCAATTAATTTTTTTTATTAACTTGAAAATTCTCAGATGAAAATTCAGAATCTTTAAATTAGCAAATAAATAGTGATAACACTTTAAGTAAGTTCACATTTATTTAATTTTTTTTAATTAATTTTAATTTTACTTCAATTGATTTTTTTTACTAACTTAAAAATTCTCAAGCAGAAATTCAAAATCTTTAAATTAGTAAATGAATCTTGAGTAAATTCATATTCATAATGATTTTTTTATTTACTTAAAAAATTCTTGGACAAGAATTTACAAAATTCACAATTAAATAATACTTTGAATCTGGTTCCAGAATTATTATACCAATAATTCAGTTTTTACTAATGTTACAAATCAGATTTCTAATATTATATAAAGTACTACACAATGAGATCTTTAGCTTTACGCTGAAAATATGACAAATCAAATGCTAAAAAAAAGAAAAGTTATAGATTTTTATATTTGTGATTTTGTGTGAGTTAATATTTCAAAGATTAATTAATTTGACATTGATTATTCTTTTCTTTCTTGCAAAGTTATAGACAAAATTGGTGAACAGTACTGATTAGATTGTAAATCTGGTATAATTAATATTTGTTATTCATTGAGTGAGCTTGAAACACTTGGAACCATCACATATCCTGAACTTAATGAGATTCCATTACATAAATTATCCATTCAAGAGGCAAAAAGATTACAAAGTGTGGGATCAATAGCAAGCACCATTTGTAATTGCAAGAGTTCTTGTGATAACAATAAGTGTAGAGATGTAAAAGAACAGGTGAAAATTGTACAAGCAGATGTCATGGTGGAAAATCATGTTCAAATAAGAATTAATTGTATTATTATCAATTTAGAAATTTAGAATTAATACAATTTTTTATGATTAATCTAATGTATAGGTTTTACGTGATTTTTATTCAAAGGGGAAGTTTTGGATATTTGAAGAATGTAATTCTTTTTTTATTGCATCCGTAGGCCATGCTTTTATAAATGTCGTGCCTCAGATAATCAATCAACAGGTTACGCACCTCACCTGATGATTAACATCTGATGCGCCTCAGTGGCCACCTGAGGCAAGAATCGATCTGAGGCACAACATATACATCACATTGTTATTCTCACTGGCGTTTTGGCTAAACA